TGGAGGAACACTCTTAGAACTATGAGAAACATTTTGGACAACATGCAGGGTGGAAGTGTCATTTTGTTGAATATTTTGTACTGTGAAAATTTTATTTGCCACCTCAACCTTATTGTTAAGCGATTCTTTGATATATCCTTCAGCAACGTTTGATGACTTCCATCCGCCATGCCTCTTTAAACTAGTTATGTCGGCACCAGAGTCAACCAATATTGTTGCAGAAGACCGACGAAAGCAGTGACCAGTATATTCTGTCGGATTTACCAAGTTCAAATAAGTAGCAATTATTTTGGGCATTTTTCTAAATTAATGAATTCCTACCACTTGTCTACAACCCTTTTCACTTTGATATTTAAAGAAAAATCGGTCACTGTTCATATTTTCTGGTCTTAACGAAACATACTTTCGATAAACATTCAAGTAAATCTGATTAATTACAAATGATCTTGGTTTGTTGGTTTTCGAATCAGATATGCTGATTAAAAGCTTAGATTCTAAGTCTTCTATATCGTGTACAGTCATTCGACTAACTCATCCATTCTACAGGCCCCAGAAATACCAAATATTACAGCCACCTAAAAAATAAATAAAGCTATAATCTAAATAGAAATTAAAACCTTGTAAATTACCTTAATCATTAAATTTTCTTTATCTGGAGCTTCCTGGATAAATTTTTCAATTTCTTCCTTCGTAAAAATCTTAGATTTCTTTGCCCTATAACCTTGAGCTTGCCGTTTCAATAAAGAACGAAGTTTTGAGTATGTAGATATATCTACATTGTGTTTAAGTGCAAGGGTTGACTTCAGCATTGAATAATTGGCCCATAATGTAGAAGATTTCATCTTTAAACAAAGGTCTAGGAAGTATGCCATTACAACATTTTCTGAGAAAGAACTCGTATTTTTACTCATGCGATAATCCATAAAACGTCTGTATGCATTTTCGTACTTTTCTCTTAATGTCTTTGGCAATAATTCTAATGAAGCAGTATTCACTGCCTCAACCAGCTCTGGAGGAGTCCCAGGAATGGAAATTTCATCATCACTTATCATTTTACTTTCGAGAACACCAGCAATTAAATTTATAAGCGTCAAGTTTGACAATTCAACCTCAATGCGTTTCCATAGTAACCCAAGTAATTTTATTAGGAATTTCAAAGCACCATTTATTTGGGAATAAAATTATCGCGTTTTTTTAAATCAATCAATATCTGTCGAATTTTAAACGATTTGCGGAAAAATAGTATGTTTACCTCGTAGGAAAAGCCACATTCTTGGACTCTGTGTTGCTAAGTCTCGGCTTGCGCCTCGACTTAACAATCTTCACAGTCGTCCAGGAATGTTAAGCTTTTCCTACCCGGTAAACAATGTACTATTGTTTAAACCTGTAATGATGCGTTCCATTAGGCGCCACCTAAAAGTCCACGGACCCCTTCATTAAAAATATGTTTATTTACCTTTGATCAGATCAGTATTAAATTAGTAGCCACAACGAGTGTCAAGCCAGCAAAAGTCTATCCCAGCCTGAAAGACTTAGGCGCACCTCTGAAATATGACATTAGAGTTGTACAATAATTCATTGTAGCGATAGGATTAACTTGTGTTATCAGCAATCACTTCACTCCGCCCCATGCTCTAGATCAGGGATGCTTAGACTTGCAGTGTCTGCGATCTATCACAAACTATTTTTACGAAAAGCAATCGACTATTGACTACTACAACTAGACTGGAGCCTAGATTCTAATATAAGTAGATTTATAAAAATACTTGTATAAATACAAACTATAATTAAGGCATTTAATCAAGCATGTAATCTGTAAGCCTAATGTGAGCTATTCTGTCGTACTCATTTCGTAATTAAAATTTTTCTATTTTACTTCTTCAACTTTTACTTTTCGTAATTTGATATATACTGACATAATGCTCCGTCACCGCAGCTTGTTATACAAGAAACAGACAGTCGAGAATAATCGGTAAACATTCGCCAAATATCGCGCGGTCACATTGCCTCAGAAGCCTGGAACATTTCAATTAGGACCTGAATATTTTAAAAGTCTTTTGCGATAGACTCCAGAAGTGATCTTGGCGATCTAGTAGTAGTAGTAATAGTGACAGCATAGTGATAAGTGAACAGTGTAGTAGTGTCTGGGGGCTCGGGAGACTGAGACCTCGGAAGCCCTGTTCTCTATCCTTCCATTGTTGGATATAGGTCTCCTCCAGTTCTCTCCATCTTTCCCTATCTTGAGCTGTTCTCTGCCATGTGGGACCTCCTTGTTTCCTGATGTCATCTTTCCTCCTCATCTGTGGTCTGCCTCTTGATCTCTTTGCATTGCATGGACGCAACTTTCCGATGGCATTGTTCCATCGTCCGTCTTGGAGACGTTCATTGTGTCCAGCCCATTTCCATTTCAGTTTTGCTGCTTGTTCTATCGCGTCTACTGTCTTTGTTCTGGTTCTGATCCACTGGTTACGTTTTCTATCTCTAAGTGATACACCCAACATTTGTTTCTCCATCGCTCTTTGTGCCTTCCTTATCCTATCCAAATTGGCCTGTGTAAATGTCCATGTCTGTACTCCGTAGGTGAGCACCGGTATTATGCAGGTGTTATATACCTTGCTTCGTAAGTAATCTTGCTTCGTTAGTACAGAAGAATCTTTTTTATGTTAATCTATATTTTGTGGATTATGATTTATGTAACTATATGACTTGTCCTATATCACAATGTGACCTCATTGGATCAATAAAGAATATTCTATTCTGTTCTATTCTATTTTATTCCATTCTATTCTATTCTATTCTATTCTATTCTATAATGTGCGTTAAGTCCCCAAGTTCTTTACATAAACATAACGAATTATCAATTTTATAGCTTGGTGACATTGCATGGTTTGTTCTTATTCTATTTATAGTAACAATAACGTTACTGTTGTTTTGGTTGTTGAACCATCTTAGTATTTGGATTCGGACTTGTCATGATTTATAATTTAATCCTGTTAGTTTGCTGACATACAGCTCTTGTCATATATTTTAAAGCTGAATTTTAAGTATGACATTCAAATCTGTATATGGAATACACTGGTAAATAGAACCTCTGTCTAAGTCTAAGATGGATTTTGCTAACTTATCTGCAATTTCTCCGTTGGAAAAATATATGTCTTGAAGATAAATGCTGGAAAAACTAAATGCATGGCAATTAGAAAAAACGCACTTTAAAAAATACAACTGCAAGTAGATAATGCTCCAATCGATCAAGTAAAAACATGTAAATACTTGGGAATGATGATGAATGACAAATAGGATCCTCAACAAGAAATAAAGTGCCATACCGAACCAGCAAAAGAAGCTTTTATCAAATTTAAACCGCTGCTATGTAACCGCAATATTTCCTTCAATCTCCGCTACAGGATAGTTAAATGCTATATTGTTATACGGCATGGAAAAATGGACGTTAAGAGTACCTTCCATTAATAAGTTGAAAGCCTTCGAAATGTGGACGTTGCGAAGAATGTTCCGCATACCATGGACAGATAGAGTGAGAAACGAAGAACTGAATTTGATAAAAGTACGAAAAATTGGATATCTCAGCCATATTCTAATAGGAGAAAAATAAGCAATCACTCAACGAATCATCCAGGGAAAGATTAAAGGCAAGAGAGGAGTAGGTTGCAAACAAATGTCGTGGCTACGGAACATAAAAAACTGGACAGGCATAAAAAACACTGGCGATCTTTTGCATGCCACAAAAGACAGACTAGACGTTTGGCCTTAAGATAATTCGCCAACGCACTATAGGTGCACAGCACTATAAGAAGAATAAGAATTAGAAGAAGAAGAAGAAGAAGAAGAAGAAGAAGAAGAATACCAGAATATCCTTTGATTAAAACTAATATTACCACTGGTGGCGACCTAGTATTTTTATTTTTGCTAAGTATTTTGCAATTGGCCTGTATTTTCTCTACTTTACTGATTCAAATTTTAAAAAACTCTTCAAAATAATCATTCCATCTATATCTCATCCATATATTATCTTTTGGTTATCTGTTAAAATGTTTCCATGATTGTCTTTAATTAATATTTTTTGTGCTTTATACCTATCTTTAACGTTTTGTATTTCTTGAAAAAAACTCCTTTTTCATTGGCTGGCTGTACTTTTCTCCTTATTGCTTAATTTTCATAGTACTCACTTTTCTTCCGTCTTATATTTCTTGTTGCACGCATTTCTTCTTGGTACCTATATTCATATACACGGGATTATCTAACCACTTTATTCTTATGTTTGTTAATCTCTTAATTTGTTTTCTACTTGTTGTACTCTTTTTTCCCTAGATTTTTTAAGAGTTTCCATTAACAGAATAAAAGTCATAAAAACAAAATGATGTGCATCTCATGGGTTCACAGAAGTACCATTAAAAATGGTTTATGAAACATTCAGTCAGAGAAAACAAAACAGAGAAACGAATAGATAAAATCTTTTCTGACTAAAAATAGAGGACAGTCAGTGGGCAAGTAAAATATCACGAAAACTATTATAAGATGCACATCAACATCCTATGAAGATAAGGGAATACAAAAAAATTATTAGATAATTTAACTTGGACACTAAATCTTTTTTTTTTGTTTTAAAATGAAACTAAATTATTCAGGGTTAATTTGATGTAAGCGCAACAGAATTTTTTTTTCTCATGTGCTTACTTGATCTTAATTAATAGTTTTTTTGTCCTTATGTTTCACTAGCACCAGCTTCACCAGTCAGCAAGGTTTTTCATAGTTCATTTCTAATTTATTTTGGACTTTTTTTACATTGTAAGCGACTTTCTAACTTTTTTGTTTGGATTCTGTTTCGGTAGAGTTTTTTATTTGTGTTTTTAGATTATTATATGTCACTTGAAGATCTTAAACATTATAACAAATAAACTTTACATTGGTACCAGAAAATAATCTCTTTAGACTTCTTATTAACAGAGAGGAATTAACATGGAAGTACAATAACAACAAAAAATCTAATCAAATCGGTTTTATTATTGAAGGATTAGGCAAATGTAATATTTGTAATTAATTATATTTCTTTATTCTTCTTATTTCTGCATTTGCATCGGTTTGATTTGCCGTTTTGTTCTGCACCTGTTTTGTACCTACCTAAAAATGTGTTATCAGTTAAACAAAATAAAAGAACCAGCTTAAACACTATATACATACCAGACAGATCTAAGGATTTAACGGGCAGAGTAGAAGGACCCACTGGACTTAGCGATCCACTGTCTGATCCTCCAGAAACAGTTGCTCCTGGTTTCATTTCTGCAGGGGGTTTTGATATTGTTGGTGGCATATTCGGTGTTACAGCTTCGTTTTGGAAATCGGTCGAACCAGAACCACCAGCTGATATACTTCCTGATATATTAGCATCTCCGCCAATAGGAATTTTTGGTGGCACATTTGGTGTTACACCTCTATCTTGGAAACCGGTCGAACCAGAACTATCAGCTGATACCTTTCCTGATATACTATCATCTCCGCCAAGAGGAATTTTTGGTGGCACATTTGGTGTTACACCTCCATCTTGGGAACCGGTCGAACCAGAACTATCAGCTGATACGTTTTCTGATATACTAGCATCTCCGCCAATAGGAATTTTTGGTGGCACATTTGGTGTTACACCTCTAACTTGGGAACCGGTCGAACCAGAACTATCAGCTGATACCTTTCCTGATATACTATCATCTCCGCCAAGAGGAATTTTTGGTGGCACATTTGGTGTTACACCTCCATCTTGGGAACCGGTCGAACCAGAACTATCAGCTGATACCTTTCCTGATATACTATCATCTCCGCCAAGAGGAATTTTTGGTGGCACATTTGGTGTTACACCTCCATCTTGGGAACCGGTCGAACCAGAACTATCAGCTGATACCTTTCCTGATATACTATCATCTCCGCCAAGAGGAATTTTTGGTGGCACATTTGGTGTTACACCTCCATCTTGGGAACCGGTCGAACCAGAACTATCAGCTGATACGTTTCCTGATATACTAGCATCTCCGCCAATAGGAATTTTTGGTGGCACATTTGGTGTTACACCTCTATCTTGGGAACCGGTCGAACCAGAACTATCAGCTGATACCTTTCCTGATATACTATCATCTCCGCCAAGAGGAATTTTTGGTGGCACATTTGGTGTTACACCTCCATCTTGGGAACCGGTCGAACCAGAACTATCAGCTGATACGTTTCCTGATATACTAGCATCTCCACCAAGAGGAATTTTTGGTGGCACATTTGGTGTTACACCTCCATTTTGAGAACCATCAGCTGATAAGTTTCCTGATATACTAGCATCTCCACCAAGAGGAATTTTTGGTGGCACATTTGGTGTTACACCTCCATCTTGGGAACCGGTCGAACCAGAACTATCAGCTGATACGTTTCCTGATATACTAGCATCTCCACCAAGAGGAATTTTTGGTGGCACATTTGGTGTTACACCTCCATCTTGGGAACCGGTCGAACCAGAACTATCAGCTGATACGTTTCCTGATATACTAGCATCTCCGCCAAGAGGAATTTTTGGTGGCACATTTGGTGTTACACCTCCATCTTGGGAACCGGTCGAACCAGAACCATTAGCCGATACGTTTCCTGATATACTAGCATCTCCGCCAATAGGAATTTTTGGTGGCACATTTGGTGTTACACCTCCATCTTGGGAACCGGTCGACCCAGAACTATCAGCTGATACGTTTCCTGATATACTAGCATCTCCATCAAGAGGAATTTTTGGTGACACATTTGGTGTCACAGCTCCATCCTGGGAACCGGTCGAACCAGAACTATCAGCTGATACGTTTCCTGATATACTAGCATCTCCGCCAAGAGGAATTTTTGGTGACACATTTGGTGTCACAGCTCCATCCTGGGAACCGGTCGAACCAGAACTATCAGCTGATACGTTTCCTGATATACTAGCATCTCCGCCAAGAGGAATTTTTGGTGACACATTTGGTGTTACACCTCCATCTTGGGAATCGGTCGAACCAGAACCATTAGCCGATAAGTTTCCTGATATACTAGCATCTCCATCAAGAGGAATTTTTGGTGACACATTTGGTGTAACAGATCCATCTTGGGAACTGGTCGAATCAGAACCATCAGCTGATACGTTTCCTGATATACTAGCATCTTTACCAGGAGAAGTTTCTAATGGCACAGTCGGTGTTACAGCTCCTTCTGATTTTGTGGTTACTTCATTTTGGGACTCAGTAGAACCAGATCCACCAGCTGATACGCTTTCTGATATATTAGCATCTCCACCAGACGGAGTGGAAACAGGTGGCGACTGTCAAAAAACGGTTACATTTAGTTTAATAATGTAAAACTATGTATAATGTAAGTATTTTAAATTTTGTAAGGTGAAGGAAGATAAACAAGAATAACAGTCCTTACTGTGGAACTGTGTAAGTCCCTTAGTCAGTACTGTTAAAAAACAACGATTAAATATTGTATATATTATAATGAGAACATTCAGATAAATCATTGGAATGAAAAACATAAAAAATAAAATAATGAATTGATTAGGAGAAGTTATGTTATTTTGGTTACATTTTTTATTTTTTCTGTAAAATATATGAGTGGTAGCGGGTAGATACTCTTGTACTATCCCGGTATAAATTAGATCTACCTCAGATATGCAACACTGCTCACGCGAGCCCTGGCTATCCCCCAATTCGTGCCGGAAGAAGTCATGTCCCCACCTTAGATCCCTACCAAAACAAATAAATACTTTCACATATCCATTCCCAAGGAGTAAACCTCACACGAAAGAAAAATAATTAAGAAACGCAACAGAAAACCACCCCAATTAAGAGAAAACCAAAATGATGACCAATATGGTTCCCAGCGAAGAGATACAGATCAATACCAAGAAGGTAGAATTAATAGTAAATACACATGCTTGGGTCATAAAATTAGAATAACCAGAGACAACCAAACCTGCGAGCTAAATAGATGAATCACGTTGGAATAAGTGGCATATGGAAGAATAAGAGACATTTTTAAAACAAATATCCTAACTCACCTGAAAAGGAAGGCATTTAACCAATGCATCACCAGTCTTGACCTACGGAGCAGAGACCCTAACTTTAACGAAAGGTACTGCCGAAAAACTGCGAATGGAGAGATCAATGCTGGGCCTGACCTTGAAAGATCTCGTGAGAAATGAGGTGGTACGTCTACGAACTGGCGTAGACGATATTATGCTGAGAATCAGTAAACAAAAGTGGAGGTGGGCTGGACATGTTGCTAGAATGGAAGACGGAAGATGAACGAAGAGATTATTGGAGACACAAGAGCCAACAAGTCAAGTCGAGGCAGACCACCCACCCGATGGACCGACGACCTTAGGAGAATAGAAACAAACTGGATTGCAGTAGCTAGAGATAGAGAGAACTGGAGACGTTTGGAGGAGGCCTATATTCAACAATGAATGTAAAAAGGGGGGATGGATGATTATGATGCTGCCATTTAGAATTAATAACTAAACTATAACAATTACAATTTAAAGAGTGTTAAAAAGAATCAATTGACCAAATTAATTAAAAGAGAGAAGATAATATATTATGTAAAAAAAATCTTGACTTACTTCAGTCTGTTCAACCTTTGATGATACTCCAGTCGTTGTAGGCTCTGAATTTTGGGACGGTTCAGTCGCTGCAGGTTCTGATGTCGAAGGTTCTGTGGTTGGGAGATTTGTACTAATCGCAGATTCTGTTGTAGTTCCGTCTTTGGAAAGGGACGTGTACTTTGGAACACACATTGTAGGTAGTGTCTGATAGCAATTGGCATCTTCCCACACAGTAGCATTCTTAGCTGGTCTATATTTAACACCCATACACAAATCTTTTTTACGGACCGAATTCGGCATCCATGTTACTTCTGTACCGTCTTCCCACATGAATGGAGAGTTTTTATTTTGTCTCTTCATTGGAAGATAATAAAAATATCGATCATCTAAAAATTATCGAATTATTGTAAATTTTAATAACTAAAGGCGGATGAAAAACCAGGGAGTATGAAATCAACGATAACATCAGTAATGGAGAAGAAGAATATAGTAATAAGGCAATACATCATAACAAGACAAATCATATAGGAATAGCGACATGGAATATGACATCTCTGAAAGGTGAGAAAATAGAAGCTACGGAAGAACTGGAAAAAATAAAGGTACAAATAATGGGAATAAGCGAGGCAAAAAAGATAGGGAAAGGACACATCAATGTCAATGAGAAATATAGTCTATATTATTCCGGAGCACCACAGCTCTTTGCACAAAATAGCAAAGAGACAAATGAACTGGTATGGACATCTGATGAGGATGAAATCCAATAAGAAAACTTTATGAAGAAAAAAAAAAGAAAAAGACGCAGAGCACGAAAAAATGGATACAGCAAGTAGTAGAGGCGGGAAAACTTGAACAAAAATCACTCGAGGAATTGAAAATAATGACAGGAAACAGAAAATAATGGCAGAAGTGGGTAAATCGAAATTAAAAATAGCTAGTCCGACACCCTAATAGGGTTAAAGAAAGGGAAGAAAGAAAGAAAGAAAAGCAGACAAATATGCCAACGTTTTAAGTTTAATATCATTGTCTACAACAATGCCATCGACTGTTTTTTTAAGCTATTTATATTGTAGTGTAGTCACATAGATAGTAGAGGTGGATCTATATGTATGTGATTTAGTATCTACTATCTATATTATCTTTGGAAAACCTTTCTATATGAATAATGTTATCTATGTGAATGAATTACAATACAAATAAGATATCTTAATAAAATCAGCAAGACTATGTCAACAATACATCGTCAAGTTATTGGTAGACATCAGTAAAGATCTTTTCTGAAACAGAGAATTTCCTTTTCGCTATTGAGACTCAGGAAACCTTTCCCAAAAACTACCTGAAATATGTTTTAAATACCCTCAAGTTAAAAATGACAAATATCGATACGGATATCAAGCCAAAGAAATCATGGAACATATTATAAGGTATTGCAAGGCATTTGTCAGAACTGATTATAGAGAAGGTCATCATTCAGTAGAAACAATTCTCCATTAAGTGATAGCTAACAGGCTGGGACTTCTTCAAACGAACTATCTCAGGATAGCTATAAAAATGGTTTTCAGCTGATCTTTCGGCAATTCTCTTATTTTATATAATGAATATATCCTTGAGAAAAGTTTTTATATCTTAAATGTCTGTATTTTTCAGTTCTAAACTTTCAAAACTAGTATGATAAAACTATATGAGAAATTTAATAAGTTTGTTCCAACACAACGAAAAACCGTCACGTAACGGTTACGCTCCTGCGCACTAAACAAAATACGTTAAACCAAAAATATGATCGTTCATCTCATTGTCCTTCCAACCGTTCCAACAAAAATTGTGATCACCCAGTGATGGTTTCGTGACGATAATTTCAGCAATCTGGCAAATGTATGTATTGGTTGGGATGACTTGCGCACTAGGATTTTATTCTGCCTCTTTAAATTTGTTGGGTCTAAATTAACTTAAATTTTATATTAAAACTGTAAATTTGTTCAGAAAAAAGAAGGAGTTAGGTTAATAATTTTATCAGGTGCTTAAGATAGACTTGTTATTTATTTATATATTTGTTTTTCGATATTTATAACTTTATAAATATGACTGACGACGAAGCAATTAGTGATTTTTCTGATATTACAGTAGTGAGGATGATTTAGAGCTATTAGGTTCGGTGGTATTGGCCGAACCCAGGGTTAAAAAACAGAATAATTTAGGTAGATTGTCACCGAATTATGTCAGTTACTCAGTTGTCAGAAAATCGTTCCAACATCAGTTTCCAAATTACCGTCATCAGACGATTCAAATGATGAACATGCTCATTAAAAACGGTACAAGTTGTTTCGTGACGGTTTCCGGACGATACAAAAATTGCGTGTTGGAACAAACCTAATAATACTTACCGTTGGCTTTCAATTGTTCATGTAGTTCATCCATTTGTTTTTGATTCTTAATATACAAAGGTGATCCTTTAGCTACAGCTTCACATATTCTCGTTATCCTATTTTGTCCTTTTGTCTAAAAAAATATATTCGCAAATATAAACATGATCATAGTTTCTTATTCGAACATCCACAAAAAGTGCTTAAAAAAATTTTCTGCAGAAACTAAAGTAAAAATGATCTGCTTTCGTAAATAAAATAGAATAAAACTTACAAAAAACTCAGTGAATGTTATCTGGTCTGGATTTGGTGGTGGGGGCGGACCTATAACATAAAATTTAACAATATATTTTGGTATGTCCTACATATTATAAAGTTTACTTATACAAAAACCAGTAATAATATCAATTACATATATTTCAGGGTACACTGTGAAATAGAAAATAGACCCTGTTTCATAGTGAAGAGGCTCAATGTGGACCAGATACTTTTTTGTGAATGTTTCTTAAAAAAAATGTGAACTAAGCTAACTTTACTTAAAAAGTATGTTAATGTTTATTGTTTTTATTTGTTAGACTTGAACTAAACGCGTTCTAAAACAACAATTTTACGTTTTTATTTTCTAGAATGCCGCGAAACAAGCCTTCAGGCAAGTGGATTATGAAATAGGCTAAACAAAATTAAAATGCCAGATTCCTGGCACTAAACTTTGGTTGCAACATGTTGCATGGTAAGCGCAACAGGGCATGCAATACCTCTTGCCATTATTTTTCCCAAAACGAATTATAAAGACCTGATGTTGCACAAAAATTCCTCTGGAGTCGTTAAAATTGGCGGCTTCATCTGGATGGATGAATAGTAATTTGATTGTGGACGTAATAAAACAATTTATCCATAATACTAATTTAACTCCTGAAAATCCGTCATTACTCATCATGGATAACCACGAATCGCATCTCTTCATATAGACCTTGGGTTAGGCAAGAAATTCTGAAGTAACAATTCTCACGCTGCCTTCGCCCACTATATGTATCATTCTTCTGCTTTATAATCCTGGATGTTTTGTATCCCAAGGAAGCCTGTCACCATTTATCAAGTGGCTAGTTTGTCGGCCATGCTTATCCCAGAGCTATGACACCACTGAACATAGCCGCTGCCTTTCGGCTATGTTCTAAGTGTGTAATTTTTACATTTAACAGAAACATATTTAGCGGCGAAGATTTTTTGCCAAGCAGTGTTACAGACCATCCTGAACACAACAATACAACAATGAGCCAACCTCTGAATCAACTGAAACGCCAAAACGTAAGGGTAGAAAAAACCAAGCAGGCCCAAGCAAAATCGCGGATGACGTCGCAGACACAGAGAAATCCATTGACCAGCCTTCCCAGTCCACCACCAAAGTATTAATAACACCAAAAATATTTCGACTACCATTAAAAGCAACTCCTCGTGATGAAAAGAGAAAACGTAGAAAATGATGCAATAGCTTTAGAACGGGCTAACGCAAAAGCCAAAAAAGAAACTGCAAAAAGACAGGTTTTTGCAGATTTTGCTAATACCAAAACCAAAGCTGCATTGACAAAACCAAATAAGCGTAGAGAAAATTTTCAATCAGCAACTACAGGTTCACTTAGATAAACATAAAATTCTGCCAGAAAATCAGTCCGGTTTCAAAAAGGATCACAGCTGCACTAGTGCCCTTTTAAAAATAACTGATGACGTATTTGGTGGTTGCGATAATAGCTTAATTACAGTGCTGATTCTTTTGGATTATTCCAAAGCTTTTGATACGCTTGACCATTCTCTGTTGATTTCAATGTTTAAGTGTATTGGTATGTCTAAGCAGGCATCTGATATGCTATTCAGTTACCTTAATGATAGAAGTCAAGCTATTCATTACGATGGTAAGACATCGAACTATCTTAAAACAAATAAAGGGGTACCATAGCGCTCCATATTGGGTCCCAAATTATTTAGTATATATACTTCAAACTTTCCTGCTCATTTTCTCTCCTGTAATCAGCACTATTTTGCTGATGACACTCAGATCTACTTATCCTTTAAGCCTAATGAGTTTAACCAGGCAGTGGCTGCAATTAATTATGATTTTGAAAGAGTTTCTCAATTTTCTTCTAGCCATTGTCTTCAGCTTAATAACAATAAATCTGTAGGTATAGTTTTTGGTCCATTGACACAAAGAGAAATATTTCTGAGAGATCTTGCTCATATGATCACCATTAATAATTCTTCGATAAAATTTAAGGCAACTGTCAAAAACTTAGGCTTACATATAGATCATAACTTAAGATTTGGTGATCATGTGAACAAGTGCTAGCAGGAAAGTTATATAAATTTGAAATTTAGATTCCAATCCCGTCATAATATATTATTATTGACCAAAGTCTTTAAAAAAAAGAAGTGGTTAAAACCACAATCCGCCCCTCCTTTTGAACGATCTATTCATATTTTTGTCTCTTTAGAATATTGTCTCTAGATGTTATTGTAATTCGTTCTTATCGTTTTTAGGTAAAAATATTCTTCCAGTTTTCTCACTCAAATTCCCAAGCTGCGCAAGTCATTCCAATGTTTTGTTTACCGATTGTACTAGTCCGGCGGTTTGTCTGAAGAATAGGTGATTTTAGATGCCATGTCCTAGCGTGTGTCACTCTTCGCATTGAATCCAAGAATATTAGGGACACTTTCCCTAGTCGGTTTGGAACCTTTCCACCTTAGTCAAAAAAAAAGATAAAAGACGTAGTCTCTAATCAGATTTGGTAGCAAATGAGCTTAGAAGCAGCACTGAAAATGTATTATTTGGTCCAAAGCCTTCTGTAATTTATCCCGTAACGGCTTTTTTAAATAAATATATCTTTTATAAAGAGGATTTTTTTTATATTTTTTTTTTATTTTTGGTAATTTACGTAAAGTTAATAGATTAAGTAAGATTAATAGATATGCTTTTTTTTTAATCTGTTGTGTGTATTTATTTTTGGCATATAAGGCACATATTGATAAAAATTCCTATGCGATATAGAGAATTACATTTTTAAATGGAGTTTAATCAACCGGATATCTTATTTAACAAAAATTTTGCAAACAAACAATTAATTCGATAAATCCCATTATAACACCAAAAATAATATCACTGCCCAACTAGAACCTCCACCGTCCAAAGACTACAAAGAAGGCTTAGTAGATCAATTGCGCCTGACTAAGTATTATATGCTACAATGCAACAATGTTGTACGTTAAACATTTTAGATTTGACTTCACTACATTACTGAAAATAGAATTTAACTGCTTACCAGGATCCATTTCTCTATCTGACATCTTCTCACATATAGGTTTGCATTTGGTGACATAAGGTGCATCTTTCCAAATCAAATCTGTTCCGTCGCTTTTTACAACTACTATAATAGTTGGTTTGATTAGTGGTTGGCCGTCGTTGTTTGGCATATTCTTGCCAAAATTCCTAAAGCCTAGTCTAGTTTCATCAGGCCAAACAAATGCTTTATTTACTAGTGGCCTTTTAGCTCCGGTGAAATAACAGCTCGAGTTATCTAAAACAAAAAAGGATAGAAATATGAAACAATAAAACACCGAAAACTTTGTTTTCAAACTTCCACAAAATTTCTTTTAAATATTATCACTACAGCTGTTTCGGCTGATTGCCTTTCTCAAGTGATCTATTTTGGCTTGGGTTTACAAATTTATAGTCTCTAATGAAATAGGTTGAGTAGGGGAGAACTGTTTGTCTCAAGTTGGTCATTCAGAATTATATCTGTGTTTTTTAATTTGTTGATTTCCATAGATTCTAACAAAGATAACTTAAGGCCTTTATTTTGAATGTGAAGAATTTTAAATTTGTCATTAAAAGAATGATTATGATCTAGAAGGTGATCATTCTTTTAATGACAAATTTAAAATTCTTCACATTCAAAATAAAGGCCTTAAGTTATCTTTGTTAGAATCTATGGAAATCAACAAATTAAAAAACACAGATATAATTCTGAATGACCAACTTGAGACAAACAGTTCTTGCCTCCTCAACCTATTTCATTAGAGACTATAAATTTGTAAACCCAAGCCAAAATAGATCACTTGAGAAAGGCAATCAGACGAAACAGCTGTAGTGATAATATTTAAAATAAATTTTGTGGAAGTTTGAAAACAAAGTTTTCAGTGTTTTATTGTTACATTAAACGAATTTCCATCAAGTAACGGTCGAATCCATCAATTATTGGATAGAAATATGTTTAAATTTGTGAATATACGGAATTTTAAATATTGTGAATAATAATTCAACAAAAAATTTTAATGATATCCTTGTTAAGGGACATAATCAACTTACATTTGAACGGCACAGGGGAAAAACCCCGTTAGTCAATTTTTTCAAGAAATGTGCTGACGATGATATCCATTGGCTTCAAACGAATAGCCTTTAAACATTTATTAGCTTCATTAGCGGTTGGAAGATTATTAATTCTTCTTAAACTACTTATAATTTATCATGTTTGAATTTTACTATGTTATGTTATACTTATAATATGTAAACTTTGAGTGTTGACACTTGGGCCAGATTGCCCGATTCCGCAGTATGTCCAATATCAAATCTTCAGAATTCATATCCAAAATTGGACAGTATAATTTTATCACCCAGTAGACCGAATGAATTTATTTGTTATTAAATACACACACGTAGTTAATTAGGTTACATACGGATTTGGTCAATTATCAACAATATTTTGGACATCAGTCAAAAGTGCTGACAAAGTTAAACAATTTACATAAATTAGACACACATATCACGAGGCACGCGTATCTATTGACCCAATTAAAACTTATATAAAACTAATATCTCTTGCCTAGAGAAGCATTCAATCAATATTCACTCAACAAACTTGATAGTCTTCAGCGATCAACTGCAACAGTCTCTACTCAAAGTAATCCCGGGTCAACACCCATAGTGTACGTCTCATCAATAAACTCTGCTACTATTATTTGGTGTTTCCATTACAACTGAACAAACATCTCCACTGAGCCAACGAAGGGTAATTTGTTCATGTTGCATTTAAGGTCCAAAATTATATTTCACAAAACATAGTTAAAAAAACATAGCGCCTTACCAACCTAACTTTTAGTTCCAATTTTAAATCCTGTACATAGCACACTTCTTATGTTGTTAAAACTTGCTCTAACCTTTTCTATTCTAAATTTCGTCTGTTTAACGTTCATTGTTAGACCATACTCTTTTTCATACTCTGCTATTCTGGTCACCAGTCTTTAAAGATCTTCAATATTTTCGGCTAAGATCACAGTGTCATCCGCATATCTAATGTTGTCATTGGGAACTCCAGTTACCTTTATTCCAGCTGTTTCACTATTCATTTATTGATGGTATAATTCATAAAAATGCGAAGTGTACATTATTCGTGAATATTCCTTTACCTTCATAGGAAAAAATATACTTTTACTTACCTATCTTGGAAACGTGCTTGAAAATAGCATCGTTCTTTTCCTTTGACTTAATTGATATTAAATCCATTCCTAGGTCCTTGCATTTTATTTGAGCGTTTCTGTAGGTGGGCTCCTTAAAATTATCAATAATAGGTCGTACATAAAAGATTAATATGTATTGCAAAATCATTTTAGAAAAAAGCAACAAAAAATCAGCAAATATTTTTATATTGAACAAATGGTAACTTAAAACCAATTTTACTATTATAGTTTATTCGTCTTCCGGGTTTGGACCGTGTCATTTGTGAGTGACCCAAAAGTGGGTTCATCTCACTTGATGAACCCACTTTTGGGTCACTCACAAATGACACGGTCCAAACCCGGAAGACGAATAAACTATAATTCTGACTCTGGCCGTGGAAGCCTACGATTCCAATTTTACTATTTGGCTAAAAATCACAGTACAAAGTTTTGATTAAATGAAGTATACTTGAAAAATCTGTTTTGATTAAAAAACAAATATTTTATTAAATGTTTTTATCCATATTAATTATAGAAAAGGAATTTCACAAGATTGAAAAAGGAAATTAGGAAAACACCAAAAACTATCTTCAAATGCTTACCAGAAGGGAAGCGAAGAGAACAAAATATCATGTGTACAGAGGTTACTAAATTATGTATGTCAATATTAAATAATAAATAATAAAATAATAAGTAAGAATGTACTAATGTTCACTTCATAGAATGCCTTCGTTAATTAACATAAAATAGCAGATGTGAATATTCGATTTTCGATTCCTTCGACATTATTGATTAAAGATGTAAATGAATTGTGGAATTTTAAAAATCATTATAGAAATATTTCGAAATGTTTAAGAATTTTTAACACAGACAGATCAAGCCTGGGAACAAATTAAATCTGCTGTAGGAGAAGCTAGCGAGAAAATAGTTAAGTGCGACTCCAAGAGAAGTACAAACAAAGATTGGTTTGACGAAGAGTGTCAGGCAATAGCAAAGGAAAAGAAGAAGATCAGACAACAAATATTAACAGATAATAGAGAGTGTAAAAAACAAGAATATAAAATAATTCGAGAAAGATTGAAAACTCTGTGTAGAAGAAAAAAAGAGATACCACAATGAGTTGAAATTAAAAGAGATAGAAGAGAATTTTAAAAACAAAGAGGTGAGGTCGTTCTATCAAGAAGTTAAAAAGATGTGAAAATGTTAGCAAAGCCACTGTAGTTATATGAAAGATAAAGACGGAAATTTAATGAGCGATCCGGCAGAAATAATGACGGATTGGAAAAAATATTTTGAAGAACTATTAAATGGTGAGGTGGACCACGAAGCAGTAGACAACTGGACGGTTGGAGAAGATGCGATAGTTGAAAGGCAGCCTACAGAGAAGGAGGTGGTGACAGCGATACGTGAAATAAAAAATAACAGAAGTCTAGGTAAAAGTGACATATGCACAGAAATAATCAAGTTTGGTGGAGAACAACTATACAAAGAAAAATGTATCAGCTACTAGTGTAAGTATGGGAAAAGGAAATAATGCCATCGGAGTGGTATGTAGCCCGCCTATGCCTTCTGCATAAAAAAGGAGACAAACTAAAGTGTGACAACTATAGAGGTATAGCCTTATTAGACACGGTATACAAAATCTTGGCAAAAATATTGAGCAATAAACTAATTTGCTTCACGGAAAGAATCCTACATTAGTATCAGGCCGGCTTTAGAAAGAACAGATCTACTGAAGACCAAATCTTCTCATTAAAGGCGATACAAACGACTTGTTATGAAGATAAAGTTCCCCTGCATATTTTGGTTTTGGATTTTAGACAAGCGTAGGATAGAGTCGATAGAGTCAAAATGTATCGAGCAATGAAACATTTGGGTATACCAAAGAAACTGATCCGGCTAGTAAGAATGACATTAAATAACTCTAAGTGTGAAATTACGTGGCAGGGTTACATATCAGATCAATTTACGGTTGCAAAAGGCTTGAGATAGAAAGATCCCTTATCCACTACATTATTCAACTTAGTGTTAGAAACTGTAATTAGAAAAAGCAACATGAAGGTGGAAGAAACAATCATGAAAAATAAGCACCAGTGCTTGGCATTTGCTGACGAATTAATGGTTCTAGAAAAAACCTAGAAAGAATTAAGAAGAGTTGTAAAGGAAATCATCAAAGAAGCACAAAGATTCGGATTGGAACTAAATGAAGACAAAACCAAATATATGATCATGGGAGGAACAGAAGTGAAAAAAGAAGACTTTGGTGTGAGGTCTGTAAGTGGTAAAAGCTATAGTTTTAAAAGGGTGGACAAATTTGAATGCCTGGGTGTAGTTTTTGATGAAAATGGAAAAGAGGAATGGGAGCTGGAAGCCGAAATAGCAAAAGGGAATAAAAAATTCGGTAGTTTAAGAGCCCTACTGAACTCAAAATACGTTTCTAGAGAAGGTAAATTCAGAATATATAAAACAGTAATTCGACCCACAGTAACATACGCCGGTGAGACATGGATAGTTAATAAGAAGGAAGAGGATACTCTGGAAAGATGGAAAAGTAAAATACTGAGACGCATATTCGAAAGACGGAAGGGGAAGATGGTTGGGAGAGAAGAACCAACAACGAATTACTGGCTTTATACAAAGAACCTACCATTACCAAGTTCGTCAAGTCACAAAGAATCAGAGGTTTGGGACATGTGGAAACAATGGAAGCAAACAGAATGCCCAAAATATTAATAACCAGAAAACTAATCGGCTCTAAAAGAAGAGGTAGACCCAGAACGAGGTGGATTAATAAAGTGGAGGAAGACCTTAAACACGTGAAGGTGAGGGACTGGAAAAGAAAAGCACAAAATAGAAGCGAAAGGAGAAATATTGTCCACCAGGTCCTTCAGGGTAGTTAAGAATGTTGTATATACATATTTAAGTTAAAGTTTTGTTTAAAATAATTGTAATTAGTTAATATTAGGATTATGTTTACAAAAATTGCCCTAGGGCTTAACGGCCTGTTGTGCGTAAAAATAAATAAGTAGGAATTTTTAACAATTTTTAGAAATTTCTAGCAATTCTGAGAAATTTTTAGAAATTTTTGGAAATTCTTAGTTATTTTCAGAAATTTTTAGAAATTTTTAGAAACTGTTAAAAATTTTTAAAATTTTTCAGAAATTCTTAGAAATTTTCAGGCATTTTTAGAAATTTTTATTAAATTTTAGAAAATTTTGTTACAAACCATCAGTTTTGCAAATGCTGCTAATACGTTCAAGCAACTACTTGCATAACGCTTTGCACGTAACAGTGTTTAGTGGATAAAAATCTAGTCAAGATTTATTTTTAAGCTTTAAAACTTTAGAGGTTTCGGACCTGCTATTATCTCAAGAAAAAATTACTGCTAGATCTAATCAAATTTCGTTCAAAATTTCCATAATATCGGAAATTGACACAAATAAATTGTTCTTGTACGAATAGTTTATATTTAATACCTAATAAAATGATTGAAAGATATAAAATAAGCATATCAAAATAATATTAGTGTGACAAATAAAAATTATTACTTACCGTTTCGTTCAGAAATGTTAACTTATATTTTGTAACGGCTTCATCTGAAAAATATAAATATTCCAACTCAGAAAAATGAAGATAAAAGAGTTAAGGAATAAGTAGATATCAAAGAAAAATTATAAAATATCTATGTTTATGTAAAATTGAAGCTCAGTATATTAACGTTTAATAAAATCAAAATTAGACCAGGCCAGAAAAATAATATAAATCATTTATACTCAAATACTGACCATGCAAATAATTGTAACTGACACTACAATTACCAATCGAGATAGCCCTCACGACATTTTTAAAAATGAGGTCATTCTTCTGTAATGATAACTTGCAACTTCAACTTCGAAAGCGCATGGTTAAATGCTACATTTGGTCAGTCCTCTTTTACGGTGTCGAAGCATGGACATTAAAAATATCCACCATTAATCATCTGGCGGCCTTTGAAGTTTGGCTGCACAGACGTATACTAAAAATTCCATGGACGGTTATGCTGACAAATGTGGCAGTCCTTGAGAGAGCAAATGCTGCTTGCGAGCTGCTTAATAACATCAAATGTAGAAAGATGGCCTATTTTGGACACGTAGTAAGAGAAGACCGATATGATATTTTTCAACTTATTATGATAGGTAAAATCGAAGGACGCAGAGGAATTGATAGAAAGCCGGCCTCTTGGTTGAAGAATATCAGAGGTGGACAGGAATAAGGAAAGCTGAGCAACTCTTTAGAATAGCTGGAGACAGAGACAGTTTCGCTATGTTAATCGCCAACGTCAAGGGGACTTGATAGGGCACGTTAAGAAGAAGAATTACCAATATATTTTAAAAACAGTACCTACCTTCATCTTGAGCTTTCACTATATTACGTGAACAAACTTGAAAAATTACAAACGCTGCTAGTAAGACACATTTACTTCGGCCCAACATGTTTCTCTCTGTTAATGGAAAACTGTAAAACCCTTTAAGAAAATAAAACCTATCTCATTAAAAATAATAATGACCTTTCAATTATTTTTAATTTGTAGCTGATTAGCGCTGTATACTTATCTTAATTAGAGCTATTGACAAAAGGTACAATACCATTAATGTTCAGAAAAACAATAAAACAATAAATTGCAAAAAATATTCAATTCTGATAAAGGAAACCAAATTAAAAGAAAATATTTTTGGTTATTTTAATAAAAAAATGCTGATAATGAGGGCTGTTTAAGCTTTTAACTACAGACGTCACGTTCATTAGGCGGCGCCTATATTAAATTTTATGTCTACTTATGCTTTGTTGACTATGAATAATCTTTCGATAAATTAAGACATAAAAAACTAATATCTATACTTATGAACAAGCGCATTGACAGTAAAATCATAAATGTAATGCATTATATTGGAACCAAAGTGCCATAGTTCAAATTGATGGGCAACACTCAGAATAAATGAAAATCTTGCAGTGTCGCAATATTTTCCACTAAAAAAATTAATTATCAAAAACAAAAGATGTCCGGTAAACTGGTTCAATGACAACTTAAAAAAAATGAGAAATCATTTGCAAACATATAAACTACGTGCTGATTCTATTAAAAACCCAGTACATTACAGCGAATATAAAAGATATAAAAATTATTATAATGCTGAGTTAAAAAGGACGAAAAAGCTGGCATATAATCAATTGATATTAACTTCAAAGAGTAGATCCAAGACGTGTTGGAAGGTAATTAACTATGAGGTAAATTAAAGAAATGGTTTACACAATTCAACAACCAACATATCTTGTGATTCTTTTAATAACTTTTGTGTTGAAATTGGTGAAAATATTATAAAATCTCTTCCAAATACACCAGACGACAAAGTTTTGAACTATAAAAAATTTCCAGCTTCATCAAATTCTTTTTGTCTGTCTCCAACCAATCCACAAGAAGTATCTACAGTGATAAAAACAATAAAAAATTTACATTGTTCGGATACACATGAGCTAAACGCATCTTTTATCAAAAGCACTAGTAATTACTAAACCTTTAACACATCTCATTAATAGTATTTTTTCAATCGGGATATTCCCAACTTCATTTAAATACTCCAAGATTGTTCCTATTTTGTCCTATCGTGACCTTGTAAACAATTATAGACCAATTTCCATCGTTTCAATATTCAGTAAAATAATTGAAAAAATTCTGAAGAAGTGTCTTATATCGTACTTTGAAACAAATAACTTTTTTACTACTTCTCAATATGGGTTTAGAAAAGATTGTTCCACAACACATGCACTTTTAGATGTGATGAGTGCCATAGTTGATATCCTTAAGAAGCATAATCACTCTGCCATAACGCTGTGTGACCTTTTAAAGGCTTTCGACTGTGTTTCACATGATATTTTGCTGAAAAAACTGCGTTTTCACGGTAAGAGGTACTCATTTGGAACTAATTTCATCGTATCTAAAGAATAGATACCAAGCAATCAAGTACGGAAATTGTCTCTCTGAATTTAAGCAGATAAAACATGGAGTTCCACAAGGATCAGTTCTAGGCCCTTTATTATTTATTATATATGTGAATGACTTGCCCAATTTCATGGTTCATTTAAAACAGTTTTATTTGGAGATGACACTACTTTTGTTTTTTCTGATAAAAATCGTTCAGATTTAGAAACCACGTCTGAGTATGTAAATTCTAATGCTCAAACATGGCTCTTAGCAAATTAACTTAAACTAAATGATAAAAAAACTCAAAATTTAATTTTTTCGTTTACTCTCGATGTGAGTGTTAAAAAAAATAATGTCAAATTGTTGGGCATAACAGTTGACAACACATTGACTTGGAATAATCATATTGACCATCTCAAAGGTAAACCTTCTAGTACCTTATTTCTACTCAGACAATTAAAACTTGCTACAAGTGTTGATACCTTGAAAATAAACGTACTTTTCTCTTTTCCATTCATTTTAAGCTATGGTGTTATTCTGTGGGGAAACTCTTGCAATGCCCTAACAATATTTAAATTGCAAAAAAAGCAATAAGAATAATTGCAAAAGTTAGCTACTTGGAATCTTGCAATCCGTTATTTATTAAATATAAGATAATGCCCTTGCCAACATTATGTGTTAATGTTGAAATACACAAATCACAAAAAAACTCCTACCTAAAGATTTAAAACAACTTTCTAGGAATAAATTTAAAGTTAGTCTAAAAAGATACCTTTTAAGATTTGCTTTTTACTCTGTTAGTGAATATTTTGATCACTTCAAGGCAATAACATGTACATGGATGTACTCACTATGTTGGTATATGTCTTATTTTGTACATTTTATGTTTTATTCTATGTTATGCACATTAATGTATTTTCATCTATTGTATTTGGTGTATGTTCTTTTTTACTTTACAATGTATATGTCATATAATTGTCTTGCTACAAACAAATGTAAAATTTCTAAACGTAGTTAAATAAAAAATCTTGAATCTTGAAAAAAAAAATCTTGAATCTTGTCTAATAATTCCTTCCGGTTTTGGAATATTTTCAGTAAATTGTTTTCCTGCTCTAACTTTGGTTACATTGTTGTTATTTAGGTTATGGACTATCTTTCTTATGTTGGTCAGTGTTTTATTTTCTATGAATGTATTTAGAATGACCCAGGCGAACCCTGTCAAACGCTTTCGTCAGATCAATGAAACAAATATATGTCATGCCCAACTCTATAGTTTTTTCTTTTCTTTGTTTTAATATGAATACTGCATCTATTATGACCTAGATGGATAGGTCATGTAATCAGACGAGAGGAAGATGCCATAGTCGGAAAAGTTTTTGACCGAAGAGGGCCGATCGAACAACGAAGAAGAGGAAGACCAAGGCTTAGGTACCAAGACAACCTAGAATATTAGTTGAAGTCTATCGGAATTAGAGCATGGAGAAGAGTTGCCATAGACAGATGCGAATGGAGGATTGTTCTGAAGAAGGATTTGGCTCATAAAGAGCTGTAACGTCACTGATGATGATACTGCATCTATTATAAAAAGCCATCTTGTAAAACCTTGTTGTTCTTCAGCATTAGTAATTTGTAATTACAATTTGTCCTACAAAATTTGTCTTACAAAAGCTATTGCCATGTCTCTATAGGTACTCCCTTGGTCTGCACGAACTTGTTAACTGATTTTTTCTGTTCTGAACCATTTTCCATACTTTCTCTTGGGCACCATGTAGGTCGTAGTCCATGTCGCTGGTGAATTTAGCCCAATGTTCTCTTTTGATTGATTTTACTCTTGCATTTACTTTGTTTCTTACTTGGACATATTCTGCAAGAGCTTCTTCCGATTGTGTGCTTTTACCTCTTACAAAACCACGGTTTGGTGTGGTTTATCGCCCTCATCGCCCTAATTTTCCTCTTTTTAATTGCTTTTTCTGCTGCTTTGTTGATGCATTTCCTGCTCATCCATATCAGTTATCTAAAATAAGAAATGAAAACATTTGCTTCCAAACAAATAAAAAAAAATAATTAAAGCCGAATAACCATGGTTTTATTAAATTACACAAACTTAGTAGTAAATTATAATAATGTTTTTATATATTTCAGATTATTCGTTGCAGCATAATACTTTTCTCTTGACTTTCTTGTCATCTTTTGTAAGCGTCGCTGCACCTATATTGCAAATTTTCACTCCTAACCCATCAAAACACTTTAATCCGCCAGGTGCATAATATTCAGCTTTGTCACCTAAAAATAATATTTCCTGTTAGTAAATCGAAAACTAAGACATTCATCTGCAAGCCATAAATATTGACAAAAGTATGTATCAATCAAAATTTGTAGATATACTAAAAATGAAACATACGTATATATAATCGTGATATAAACATTATTTTTTGTCTATATTAGAATTAAAATGATAAGATATCTAGAGCTGATATCCAGAAACAACAGAAATATTGAAATACAGCGAAGAATTCGACAGGGTTACGAACTATCCCCGTTGTACTTTAATGTCTGTACTAACGCAGATTAAAACAAGCTTTCACATATTAATTTAAATACAACCCGTTAAATTCAACTGATTAAATTGAAATCATGAATGTGTTGCCTGTGTGAGTGCATTTCAAATAGGTAAAAAAGAAATAAATAAGACTTACTCACAATCAGTTTAATTTAACTATCTAGAGCAGTGATTCTCAATTTGTGGTCCGCGAACGGTTTTCATGTGGTCCGCGAAGTGAACAGTCATAAAATAATCAATTTAAATCTTGGTTCTTGAGACGTAAATTAATGCGCCGGCCTATCTTTTTAACTCAAAACGTTTCCAGACGACCAAGCGCGCCTGAACACAGGTTCAGTTCACGCGCCAAATAGTTAGTTGCATTATCTTTTAGTCTCGGCCGCTGTCGTGTACATACAGGACACTGCGACCACTGTGTTTTTGATCGCGCCACTAATCAGTGACTCAGTGCTGACTGAACTGTCAAGTGACGAGCGTGCGTTTTTTTTTGGCTTGGTGATTGTAGTTTACTAAAATGAGCAAACAGATGAAACTTTCGGGTTTTTTTAAGAAGTCAGATAGTGAGAACGTTAAAGCAGGATGTTCTACTAGTAATATTGCCAGTGATGGCACAATATTAACTCAAACTGGTCCTAAAAGAAAGGCTGCTAACCGTAAGTAAAATCCTGACTACATAGCATGTGGATTTACATTCATTGAAGAATTTGGTGTCCAGTTACCCCAATGTGTAATTTGTGCGGAGGTATTAAGAAATAAGGCAATGAAGCCGGCAAAATTAACTAGACACTTTGAAACAAAGCATAAAAATTTTTCCGGAAAACATATAGATTTCGTTAAGAGAAAGGAGACGGAACTAAAATCGTCCAAAAATATCCTTAAGTCATACTCAACTTATGATGAAGCTACTTGGAAGGCGTCATATCAACTTTCACTTAGAATCGCAAAAACCAAAAAACCCTTTACTGTTGGTGAGGAATTAGTTTTACCATGTATCGTAGATGCAACTAAAGCAATTTTAGGTGATAAATACGCTAAACAAATGCGAAAATATTCCTCTTTTCAATGACACCGTTAGTAGGAGAATTGAAGAAATGGCATCAGATGTTGAAACCCAACTTCTAAAGAAACTTCATTCCTCAAAGATTTTTGCTGTACAACTTGATGAATCTACAGATATTACCAATAAAGCTATTCTTCTTGTTTATATACGATTCATAGATAAAGACAATAAAAAATTATCTGAGGAGTTCCTGACCTCGATTGAGTTGCAAGGTTTGCAACCATTGACGGATATTTCACAATTAAAAATCTTTCTTGGAAAGACTGTGTAGGACTTTTCTCTGATGGTGCCGTGGCAATGACAGGTCACAAAACAGGCTTGCCCAGTTTTGTAAGGAAAGAAGGAAACCATGATATTGTTGTAACACACTGTATTATTCATCGCGAAATGCTTGCTGCCAAAATATTAAGTCCCGACCTAAACAAGGTTTTGACTACTGTGGTAAAGGCCGTGAAGCTGGAAAAGGATCGTTTGAAATGTTTGTTTGAAAGATTTTATCTCTGAAAATAAAGGCTTAAAATGAGGATGTTTTACATTCACTGGTTAAGTCCTACATTAAATCGCTTCAAGATTACTTTGAAAAGTACTTCTCTGCTGATACAGATGTGAGGAAAACTAATCTGTGGGTGATTGATCCCTTTTTAGCTACCCTAATATCTGTCTATTCAGGAAAATGAACAGTTTATTGAAATGTCATCCGATGATCATTTAAAAGTGATAAAATCTCACTGCAAAAATGTTGCAGATTTTTGGAAAGAATTACTTGATGAAAGTCCACTGCTAAGTAAAAAAGCTTTGGAAGTTCTTCTTCCTTTTCATTCCACTTATCTCTGTGAGGCATCATCTCAACATTATATGTCATTAAGAATAAACACAGAAATAGGTTGCTAAATTTAAATGCTCCTATGAGACTGGCGTTAACTTCTTTCGATTCAAATATTGAGAAACTTTCAAGTGAGAAGCAAGACCAAGGGAGTCATTAACGTCTTAATTTGGCGCTATCTATGACTTTTTATTTTGTTTTTTTATATACCTTTTGTCTTTCACTATGTATTTTCTTTTTTATTTTGTAAATAATAAATTCATTAGTAAAATTTCAGTGTTTATCTCATTTTACTTATTATTAGGAAATAATATTATCTAAGTGGTCCGCCAAGAGTTCTGAAAGGTACAAGTGGTCCTCAGTGATGAAAAGGTTGAGAACCACTGATCTAGACGACCAGTTTCGCTTTCTAGAATTTGCAAAACATTTCCTTTAATTAACTTTGTATCGACTGACCTGAAGATGCTTTGCAAATTGTAGAAAGCGAAACGGGTCGTCTAGATAGTTAAATTAAACTGATTGTGGGTAAGTCTTATTGATTTTTACCTATTTAATTAAATTGAATTTCCGAAAAAATGTTTAACAAAATATTTAATGGTAGATTATAAAATACCACAGAACATATAATATATAATAAGAGGCAATTTAATATATTTCTTTAATTTGTAGCCACTAAACAACGGTTTTTACTGATTAAAATCATGGTATTATTAACGCAATAACTTTATTTACTTGGATTTTATAAGACATGTTTACACTTACCCTTTGAATTAAAATATTGCTGAATATCTTGAATCTTTTCTTTTGAATCCAAAATGAGCGGTTTCATATTATTTTTCGTGCAGTACGCTGCCGCCTCATCAAAGCACATCTAAAATAAATGTTGGCAAAATCGGATTAAAATGTACATTGCGAATTATTATTCTTTAAGGACAAAAAATGTACATAATGTACGTACGTAACACCATGCAATTGTATAATTGTACAATTATATATATGTTAGCCTATCACTGGGTTTAATTTTAGTGCAATCACTACTTGTCTGCAGGTGGATAATCAATATTTCTTTAGATGTCAGTCTTATTACTTTATATTTGAACTGGTTGTTCTCAACTTTGTTTACCTTCTTAGCTTTCATTGGATTTGAACGTGTCGTCAAGATTTTCAGCTAATGCGTGGGTGAGTTTTTTTTATTGCTCCTGGCCCAGTTACCGTCCCCAAGTCTAATGGGTGATGAGTATATAATTGATCTTCCTAGCGTTTTTGTAGCTTTTTATAAAGAATAATTATTCTTTAGTTTTATTATCATAAGTTAAATTTTTTAAAATGCACAGAATTACGCAATATACCTGACAAGTGGAAAAATGCTGAAGTAATTCTCTTGTACAAAATAGGAGATTTCAATGAATTAGAAAGCTACAAACGTACAAGTCCTCTCCATCATCAGCAATGGTACTACAACCCTATGAAAGAGCCTTGACCTTACCAAGTCTATTACGCCAGGCAGTCCTATCCATTGCCAACCGTTGCCAGTTTGCTGCGCCTATCTTTCTACAATCCTCATCTACTCCATCCTTCCATCTGAGTTTTGGTCTACCCCTTTTTCTACTTCTCACGGTTTGTGACATAAGGATTCTTCTAGGATGGTTGTTCTGCTGTGATCCTGCTAGATGTCCGGCCCATCTTAGTCCTCCTATTCTTACAAGAGATACTACGTCTTTACCACCAAATATTTGTTTATATCTGTGGTATACCTCGTAGTTGTTTACAGATGCCACCAAATATTCCTCTCAGGATCCTTCGTTCTAATACAAGTCTTCTTAATGATCCAAAAACTTGATTTCTAGTAGATAATATAGCAAGCGGGATTTCGTACCGGATTTGGAACAAGTGATCACCTACAGAGCAATAAAACGGTAATAGAAAAGACTATCGAATACAATCAACCACTTGTTCTGGCTTTTGTAGATTTCCATTAAGCCTTTGATACGGTAGTATTTAATAAAATCCTATAAGCACTATAAATATGCCTCATTGACTACTGATATCTATGACTACTTTTTCAGTCCATCTTTGGACATAGGCCTCCCCAATCCTTTTCCATTCTGTCTGTCTGTCACTACAGTTACCATCTGCCCATCTCATTTGTGGACTTCCCCTGGTTTGTTTATATTCCCACGGTCTCCAACTTATAAGAATTTTGTTCCATCGGTCTTCTTTTTGTCTTATATTCTGTCCAGCGCAAATTTCCATTGCAATTTTGCAACTTCTTGTCTAACATCCCTCAATTTTGTTTTCTCTCTTATCCAGTCGTTTCTCTTTTTATCCATTAGTCTTATCTGCAAACTGTGTCTTTTCATTGCTCTTTCGGTTTTTATAAATTTGTCTATGTTGTCCATGTTCACGTTTAGGAACCATGAGAGAAAACAGGGAGTACGCATTGATTGTATACTTTGGTGTAAAGCTACTGTGGATATCTTTTGTTTTATAGAATGTAGCTTAGTTTGCCAAATGCTGAAGGGTAGCGGGTAGAAACTCCTTTGGACAGTCCTACCAGGGAAAGTGAATCAGTCCCTGCCCTCCTCAGATTCCAGTACTTGCTTAGGGTCCTTTGTCCAGGGTCACGGATGAAAACTACAACGGTATCCACGGCAGAGAAAAACATCTTCGGTACGGTGTGTATGGCAGAAGTGACACATCCGATTTTAGGGTTGGTATAAAATTAAATGTAGCGTCTGATCCAAAGTGGATGGCTACAAACAGCGTCTGACCCAGAATGGGTGACTGATAACTAACTCACCAACCTGCCTAGCAAGCGTGGTGTTTTAACTGCCATTACTCCTCCTCCACTTTTATCAATGCGAATAATAAAACAATAGGACTAGAGATATACAAAGATTAATTTACAATACATACAAAAAACCCATCATACTGATCGTACTGAGTTAGAAATGAGGACTTAAGACGGAAAACAGGAGTTACCGATATAATTTTCCGAATTGCCACACTGAAATGGAACTAGGCTGGACACGTCCCTCGAATTAGTGGTGAAAGATGGACGAAGATACTGCTTGAGTGGAAGCCGAGGTTAGATAAAAGAAGTAGAGGAAGGCCCCCTACTTATTGGACTAACGATCTCAAGAAAATGTCTAAAAATTGGATAAAAAGTACTCAAGATAGAGCACAATTTTATTACATAATCGGTGTATCTGACTCCACATACTGGAAGATATCTCAAGACAAAAGCGATAACGAAACCATAGCCTGCTTCTTTATTTGAACTCGTTTCAGAGTAAATTTTACCACGAAAATAGTATATCTTGTTTCGATTTAAAGACAGTATCTGCTAAAAGAGTGAAAAGCAGAGGCCTGACATTGGCCATATTTACACTGCGTGCTTTTTTGCGCGCACTTAAACGCATGCCTCTACGCATACCGTAGCGCATACCTTGTCACCAAAGCGCATGCGCTAAGACATGCCTCTTGACATTCCTGGACTCGATATTTGCAGTTTGGTTTCTTTGTGCTTCAACGTGCCTTTTACAATTATTATTTTTGATTTTGGTGAGTCGTGGTATGAATACCTAACAAACCCTCGAATTCATCAAAGACTACCTAAGACTAAAATTATGAGTATTTATGTAATATAACTAGTTGGTCGTACATGAACAAAAATAAAACAAACGATACATACCGAGATTTAACTAAACAGTATGAAATTACTAAGAAAACCGTTGGGAATAAGATCAAAAGTTTGAGATCTTATTTTTTTCTTCAAAAGATCACCTCGAGGTAATGAAGAAGAAAGGTGGTGCAGGAAGTGAAGATAAGTACGACTCTACTTGGTTTGGATTCAACCTGGTAATGTTTATAGTTGATTATGTGACGCAAAAGAGGACAAAACGCATTGTCGTTGCCTTTAAAATACTTTATAGAATACAAAAATCACGAGTTTTAAGATAACTCTTCATCTAAGTTATTTGGTTCGATCCTTTACGTTTTTTACCTTTTTTAATACCAAATATGCAATAATAAGTCCTTCTAGCAAAATACGTCTATTTAATCCATCGCATCGTGAATAGACTGCAAGACACTATATTTGGAGAGGGAAAATACATTCGTCTAAGCGCATACGCGAAGGCATGCGTTGACGCATATTCAATTGAAATGTACATGTACAATGTACATACGGGGAGTCCGCTGGCATCTTATCCGTTTTCATCAGATCTCTAATTCAGGCATTCTCAAATCACTTTTATTCGTAAAAAAATTAAAACATAAATTATCTACGAATAAATCTTACCTTCTCCTTACTGATAGTTATCTTATATTTTTGTTTAATATCTGAAAATAAAATATACAGGTAAGTACATAAATATTTTTTGTATTTTATAAATTACTTCATTTTTTATTTTCTGAATAAAAGGGAAATACAAGTAAGAGTAAATGGATACACCTCTACCACTAAAATACTCGACAACGGTGTTCCACAAGGTTCTATTTTAAGCCCAACTTGTGTGTATTAGATGCAAAAATATTACATCTGGGGCTAAAATACTATAGAACCTTCTATACAAAATCGAAGAATGGTCTTCCAAAACAGGCTTCCTCTTTTCAACTAATAAGACACATTACACAGTTTTCAGCAAACGCAAGAATATCATTCCTGTTTCGTTAATATTTAACGGTAAAAATATATCTCATTCAGAGGAATCGAATTTTTTGGGCCTAACGTTTAATTACAAATTAAACTGGAAAACACACATTAAGACTTTACAACTAACTTGTCAAAATAGAATAAACTTGCTAAAAATTCTATGCAATAATATATGGGGAGTTGATTCCAGTATTCTGCTAAACCTCTACAAATCAATTATTCGCAGTAAACTAGACTACGGGCAATATGCTAGGATATAGCAAATAAAACGTTCCTAAAAAACCTTAACACGATTCAAACAACAGCTCTAAGATTAGCCGTCGGTGCCTTCAGAACTAGTCCTGTAAGCAGCTCACAAGTAATCTTAAGAGAACCCCCTCTACATCTAAGACGACATCTACTTAGTTTAAATTATGCAGCAAGAATATCTTCCAATAAAAAGCACCCATTATATTCTGAGATTATTAATGCACCTACATCCAATTTGTATAGAAACGAACAATATAAAGGCAAACCCTTTAGTAAAAGAATCAATAAAAAAAGGATTTAATTGCAATAAATTTAAATTATCCATAACATAACCACAAAATTAGACTTTCCTCCATGGCTAACCCCCTTACCTATCACCGATTTACCTTTAACACAGTATCCAAAAAATACCACAAATCCTAACCTCATCATTAATGCATTCAAAGAAATTATGGAGAACTATCCAAATCACCACATAATATACACAGATACACCAAAAACTGAAAATAGCCATGTTGCAGCCTTCACAAATAAAAATTACAAATATGCCATTAGAATTCCACAGCACTGCAGCATTTACACCTAGGAAACCACAGCTATATTAGAAGCTATCAAAAACTCCTCTTCAACGACTGAAAATAATATTTTAATCATCACAGATTCACTCAGCGCAATTCATGGAATTAATCAACTTTACCCTAGCCATCCTATTGCACAACAATATAAGAAATGAACTTAATGCACTACACCATATAAATAAAAAGGTTACATTTATCTGGATACCTTCACACATTGGCTTTAAAGGCAACAAGGAAGTTGATCAATTGGCATTAAAATCCATCAAAAATGAAAATGTTCCAGAAATTACTAAATATCCCCACACCGACCATAAACGACAGTCCATGAATCATATAATAAATTTATGGCAAGCAACCTGGGATGCAACAGACTCATTTCAACAAGTTGAAAACAATAAAGCCTCGAGTAGACGCCAGCCTACCACAACAAGGAAAAAGAAGAGATCAAATAATCGTAAATCGACTTCGAATCGGCCACACAATACTAACACACCAACATCTTCTAAATAAAGAACCAGCTCCAATTTGTACCTACTGCTCTACTTAACACACCCTGAAGCATCTGGAATTAGTAAAAACCTGAGAAGTGCGCTTACGACAAATATCTCGGATTTATTGCAGTTTCTTAAAGACATAAACATTTGGGAAATGTATATGTCTTTTAGGAACCTGGATTTCAGACAACAATGATCAAACAACGAAATAAAAGGTAGGATAGAAAAAGCAAGAAATGCGTTTGTAAAAATGAAAACAATTCTCTGCAACAACGACCTTAGATTAGAACTGAGAGTAAGAGCACTGAGATGCTACGTGTTTTCGATATTGCAATATGGATTTGAAAGCTGGACATTAAAGCAAGAACACATAAATAAGTCACAGTCCTTTGAAATGTGGTGTTACAGGAGGATGCTTAGAATAGCATGGATACAGAAGAAAACTAACACGGAAGTATTGCGAGAAATGGGTAAAGAATGCGAGATAATAACCACAATAAAAATAAAAAAGTTACAATATCTGGGACATGTAATGAGAGGACAGCGATATGAACTGCTAAGACTGATAATACAGAAAATAATATATAGAGTATATAAGGAAGGAGAGGTTATGGTTGAAGAATTTAAGGGACTGGTTTAAATGCATTTCTATAAAACTCTTCAGAGCAGCATTAGATAAAGTAAAGAAAGTGATGATGATATCCAACGTCCGATTGTGAGACGGTATCTAAAGATAAAGAAGAATAGAAAATGATAAGGTGTAATAAAAAAAAAATAAAAGAGAAAAAGAAAGTAAGTAAAAAATTAGCAAAAATAATTAATATCTAGATAACATGGTAAGTTTCTTATGTTATTACCTACAGCTGCTGTCCAGGTAATGCAACCTAAAAGACAAATAGCTACAGCCAAGTTACAGCGGTTTAGGTCTGCCATTTTTTAGCTAGTGAAATAATATGACGAAAGTGTCATTTATATATAGAAAAAAGTATATTAATTACCTAAGTAAAGTTGCTAATTATAACAGCTAACAAAGAGACATTATAATTAATTAAATAGTAAATTTAGAGTATTAAGTTGAATTAGTTTGTTTTCGTGCAATTACGTTTGTTATTAGCTAGCTTTGTATATGGGATATCGATAATTTTTTTATAAATAGTAACCTTAATGTATGGAAATTGCAATATTTAGCATAATTGTGTTTGTTTACTAGCAAAAACAATAAGAAATTAGTGTAAAAACAGGAGACAATGTTTAAATACAATATTAAGGTTGTTTTTAGACCGACATTATTACAGAAAAGCGTGAGACAGGGTGATGCAGTATCACCTAATTTTTTTAATCAGGCTGTTTTCAGGCTACTTTTCAAAGATTAAAATGGGAAGAAAAAGGTATAAAAATTTCTGGACAACGCTTGAACCATCTAAGGTATGCTGATGATATCGTATTGATAACTAATAAAAAAGAAGAATTATTTAAAATGATGAAAGAACTGAACGTAGAAGCTGGAAAGATAGGCCTTAATATGAATTACAGCAAGACCAAAACCATAACAAATACAGATGAAGACATCACAATGAGAATCGAACAAGATGAAATAGAAAAAGTTCAGGATTATATATATTTTGGTCAAACTATAAAACTTAACATAGAGAACCAAACAGCAGAGATAAAGAGAGGAGTTAGACTGGCATGGGCGGCATTTGGTAACATTCTTAAAAACATACATTCTTAAGCTACATTCTTAAAAACAAAAGATATCCACAGCATCTTAAGACCAAAGTATACAATCAATGCGTACTCCCTTTTCTTACTTATGGTTCCCAAACCTAGACATTTACCAAAGCAAATATGGACAAAATCATAAAAACCCAAAGAGCAATGGAAAAACAAATGTTGCACATAAGACTGATGGATAAAAAGAAAAACGAGTGGATAAGAGAGAAAACAAACGTGAGGGATGTTAGACAAGAAGTTGTAAAATTGAAATGGAGATTTGCCGGACACAATATAAAAAAAACCGATGGATCAAAATTCTTATAAGTCGGAGACCGTGGGAATATAAGCGAAGCAAAGGAAGGCCCCAAATGAGATGGGCAGATGATATCAAGAAGCACGTGGGCTCTAGGTGGATGACTGTAGCGACAGACAGAGAAGAATGTTAAAGGATTGGGAAGGCCTATGTCCAAAGATGGACCGAAGAAGGCTAATTAGATAGATATAAATCTACATTTAAACTTCGAAAGTGAGTCAAAGTTACCCGAAATTACGACAAGCTGTATTTTTATAATATGTTAATCTTAGCTTCTTGTGTTCTGAAAATTCTTTTTTCAGCATTTCATGTCTCTGTAGTAGGAAAATCTAAAAATCTGCTTAATTATGATATTGCATAACTGATATATGTCCTAGTAGTTGTTGATAAATACATTAGCCTCCCAATTAATAATTGCCTGTAAGAAATATTAAAATTTTACTGTACTTATTATATTAAAATCCCTTTTCAATTGGAGTCATATTTGAATTACATTCTATTATATTTAAATGTTTTAAAACTTCTTCCCATAAGTTATACGTGTATAATATTTAAACTTAACAATTAAATCTTGATATTGTATTAAAGCAACCCTTTACGCTAATATTACAAATTACACAACATCCATTTCCAAAGTCATGTATCTACTCAAATTTAATCACCAATCTATTCACCACTAACTTAAAATATAAAAATTCTTTAAACTGGTGTAAACGCCATCCCTAAAAACTATCCCATTAACTGTTCACACCACAAGTTCCAGCGCAACTGCATCTGCTTTTGGGAGACGTGTTTGGGGGACAATAATAACTCCGAATTTATAACAGTCATAAAACTTATTTTATTGCTGCGGCAAAATTTTTAATGAATAAAAAGTGCAAATAATAAAACAATACACATTATGAGACCTAATGACTTGTAAAAACCGAAAGTAGGCAAAAAAATCTGGACAAAACGCAGATAAAAGTAAAGTAGCATAATGTGTGGACTTTAAAATATTGTATTTGTTGTATTTGTTGATACTTAAAATTGCGAAGATATCAAGAAATTTTTATAACCGTATGATTAAGTTGAAAGATGAATATTTTAGGATCATTTGTAAAAACAACATGACAGACAACATAAGAAACACTGCTAATCAAATCCAAATATATTGCAAGATACAAACTAATAAAAAAATGATGTCGAACCGGATAATTTTAGAATAGAAAAATGGTATGGAAAAGGCTACAAACAAAAAAAGTGGTACCCATACCTCCGTGACGTTTGCCTCAGTATTTTACTGTAGAGAAAATAAAAGTAATGTAAAATTAGTAGTAGTAAAAAGATTGACGAGTTAATATTTAACACAGTTTATTGACCTATCTTTACAAGAAGACAAAATGGATCTTTTAGAAGTCTTAAAATCATTTTAAGAAAATCTGTTCTACTAACTAATGTTAGCATATACATATGTGATATAAACAATAAAACATTGACATATTTTACTTTTTGTATGACATAATAATGCTCTATCATTTAAAGACAATGAAGCCTTTAACTGATTTATATTAACTAGATTATCTTTAGTGATTTTTTCTAGTTAGTCCATTAATTGAAGAGAAAATCATTTGTCATGAGTATGTCGATCAGATAATTAGAAAAAACAAGACAAAATGAGTGTAAACTAGCGACCTATTTCTGCAACCACAAAAAGAACTAAGAATAATTTGTCATATATGTCATAATGTTTGGAATACACCCTATCAGTAACCCAATAAAAAGTATTTTATAGTAAGCGAGCTAGCCCAAACAAATGTTTAAATTTAGCATTAAAATTTTGTTAAATAGTTGTAGACTGGAATATTATACTGTAGCGCATGGATTCTCAATATTGTGCCAGTGGTACAAGTCATTATAAGTTTTCCGACCGCATTCCTTGTTGCTTTACACAATATCTCATTTACAAGGAAAATATTATATGTTTATATTATTTGTTTATATCGAAAATTAATAATTGATTATTTTACATCATAGCATAGTAGCAAGTGCGCAACGGAAATTGTTTTTAATCTGCAGGCTGATTGCTTGTCCTAAAAATATCTTTACACATTTACATAAAAGATCAACAGTTTTTTTCCAAAAGTCCCAAATTAAAAAAAAACAACAAAATCTATCAACAAAATCCCAAGATGTAGTTTGCAGCTCTAATTAGAAGCTGATATTTAATGTTTTGATATTGCAGATGTTTAACAGGATAAGTGCCAGGCTATAGTCTTTATTGGTCGATAACTTTTTAACGCGGTATCTGATTGTGTTGCTCTCAGACATCATCATCTTTATAAACACCTAAGTCAATTTCTACTATCCTTCTCTTCAGTCCTAATCCCTTTTGGGATGTGGTGATATCATCAGGCCTTTACAGTTTTTTCATGATTTACCTCCATCCTTCCCTATTCTGGGCTAGTTGTTCAGCTTTATGTAACCCCTGGTTAATCAATATTTTTGTTTAATCTACCCAACGGCTTGGAGATCTTCTCCTAGGTCTCTTTCCTTTAATTCTACTCTCGACTATCAGTTTTTCCATCGTACTTGTTCTTCTAGTAATGTGTCCAAAATACCGCAAATATCTTTGTTATTTGCAGTATTTTGGACACATTACTAGAAGAGGGGGGCAGCTCTCAACCTCGACACGGCGCGCCCCAATGGCTGATAGGGAACGTCCTACAGATATGTAGGAAAGGTGCGAATAAGGCTTTGCCAAATAAACACCCGCGGATCAACTGAGAGCATGGCATAGGGCAGCAGCTATGTCATTACAGGATCAGAGCGGTAGAGACAAGATCTCTGTATCGGTCTGATACCGGATAGTCACGGGCGGTAATCAAATTATGATTTAAGCGGTTGTGATACTGCGGTGCAGAAAGCAACGGAAAACTACTGCACTATATTTTCCCTAGTAAAGTAACCTATGCAAAACAAAAATTTAACGGCCCCTAGTCCGCGGCAGACCTTAAGTGGTCAGGGGGTGCAACGAATTCCCGCGAGGAGGAACCACCAGAAAGTGGAATACATTAATAACCAATCCTTGGTACGAATAGGCACTTGGAACGTACAAAGTATGTTTGAACCCGGTAAAGTTCAAAATACCATTCGTGAAATGAAAAGACTTGGAGTGGACATACTAGGTAAAGTGAAAAGATGGAAATGTATCCATCGATGACTACACAATATACTACTCGGGGAACGAACAGCAGAGACACTGAAATGGTGTAGGCCTTATAGTAACAGAGCAGATAAAAAAAGCAGTAATTGATTTCATACCCTATTCTGATCAAATGCTTCTTTTGAAATTACAGAGTAAGCCCGTAAACATAAACATACTCCAAGTTTATGCACCAACTGCTGACAAGTCGGATGATGAAATAGAGCAGTTCTATGAGAATCTCCAAGAATTACTTAAAATGATAAAGAGTTATGAAACAACATTAATCGTAGGAGATTTTAATGCCAAAGTGGGTTGTGGAAAAGTGGAACATATTTGTGGAAATTACGGACTGGGCAATCGCAATGATAGAGGTGACAGACTACTACAATTTTGCCAGGAGAAACAACTAACTATCATGAGCACCTGGTTCAAGCTACCACTACGGAGGGTATATACGTGGAAATCACCCGCAGATAATAAAAACAATTGTGTCCGAAATCAAATCGATTACATTATTATAAACCAGCGATATAAAAATGCAGTAACGGATACAAGAACATACCCAGGTGCAGATGTTCCATCGGATCACAACCTATTAGTGGCTAAATTAAATAAAGTTCAAAATGCTAAAAAGGACTGTCAAAAGAAAAACCGACATCAATTTACTTAAACAAGAAAATATACAAAGTATGGTAAAGACTAAACTCAACAAGGA